AATGAACACTTTAGTGGCCACTTCTAGCAGCTGGCTAACATTCATTCCAGCAAAGCCTTCTAGTTTTTGTAGTTTATGTCAGGTATTCCCCTGGGACTGTCCGATAAAAGTTACATTTATCATACACTAATTTTCATTTGCCTCTGGATCAAAAGGGGTGTATAGCCGAAAGGTGTCACAGAGTCTCTCATAGAATTGGCTTGGGCTCTCGTCAGCTTCCTGGAACACCTCATTTGTATGGCCTTTTCCCTTCCTTCTCTCATACCTCCTAGAGGGCCTCCTGCTATTGTGCAAGCATTTGCAGTCCCTGGTTACTGTTGGGGTCCCATTGGGGGTCCTCCTCTGGGAACTGATTTGGGGCATATGCCTGGGCATTGAGTGCTCCAGCCAGGGTGTGTACCTCTAGCCATTTTATAGCTCCCTGTGTAATTATCTGACGCTCCTCAGCATTGAATAGCATCAGGAGGAGTTGGTGGCAGTCCACCCAGGTTGGCCTCTGGGTCTGGATAATGGACTGTATTAAGTCATTCATAGCCTGAGGCTTTTCCGTGAAGGACAGCGTATGGTTTTTCCAATTCAGGAGGTGTGTGGTGGTGAAAGGCTAGTACACAAATGTGCGTTGCCCACCTTGGATCTGGCCTTCTTGATCATAATGAATAGGTCCCCTAGTCTCCATCAGTGGCATCTGGAAGGCACCGCATTTCCCTGATGTAAAGTCAGACATACATTCTGGCAACTGCTTCCTGGGTGGGGCACGGGTAGTCAGAACAGGTGGTTTGGGTGTGGCCTTTGATTGTTTAAGAGATGTACTAGGCTTAGGGGTACATTCCAATTGTGAGCCTCTAATAGTGGCTGGTGCCATAGGAGCAGGTGGCAGTGGTGGGTAGACTGGAGAATAAGGTGGTGGGATTTCTGGTTCATCAGCCAACACTGGCTTATCAGCTAACTCAACAGATTCTGATGGGCATTTGGATGGGGCTGTTTTGAGGGCTACCATAATTTTACAATTGTCTTCCCAGCAAGCTTTTAGCCAAGAGGGCCATGCAAGGACCACATCCTGCCAACCGTTGATATAAGGAAATTGGTCTGGGTGACCTGGCTCTCTTGCTGTAATTCTATACACTCTCTTAATGGTTTTTCTATCTAAGGATCCCTCTGGTGGCCATCTAACCCCCAAAGAGGGCCAATCTATTTCACAGAAGCTTTCTCCAAGACAGTTTGACACCATAGCAATCTCCACAGAAATATTTGTCAAAGTTCTTAAGCATACAATCCAGAGGGGTATTCTTACTTTGGTTTCCACCCATTTCCTTCCCCAACAGACGGCAAGCTCACACAAATGAGGGAGTGAGGGGGTATGGGAAACAGCTGCTTCGTCCTCCTCCAGCCGTACTCCTCACAGAGATATTTCAGACACCTCTTAGCGATTGGCAGGTTGGTATAAATTCCCAACCCGGACCAACCCTATGACAGAGTTGGGGCTGCCCTCAGCTATATGAGGTCGTCACCGGCTTAGATTGGGACTCAACACTTGCTTTGGCCCTTCGGTCAGGTCAGAACCCTTCCACTGACAATCTCATTCACACGCAATCACACAGCACATTCTCCAACCCTCCACCCTGATCCTAGGAGTCAACAGGTTCATCTTGAGACAGTGTTTCCTTCCACTGCCTTTCAGTCCTTTCCTTGGGACTGGAGAGTACTAGTGGACTCCGGAAGGTGATCAAGCTTCCCTTCTACCATCTACTGGCAGGTCTATGCAAAGGCCCTTATTCCTACACTTTCTGTCAGGTGGTGCTCCTCATTCTGGTTCCTTACCCCTTTGGGCCCCTGTTGTGCTTTCGAGATCCGAGCCTCAGTGCACCGGGAGGGGCCGCCCTCTTATGGATCAAAAAGTCCGTTGTTCGCCAGGCAAGATTGCTTCTCCCATCGCCCCGGAGGTCGTACCCTGATGACAAAGGAAGTGGAACACACCGTCTCCGAACTCTCTCTTTCCCGGCCCATGCACCAAGAAATGTTGTGGGAAAACAGAGAGACTGTGACAACGAGGCATCTTAGGAGGTAACGGTTTATTAGCGCTGGCGTGACTCAGCAGGCTAATGCTCCAAGGTTGAGCAAACCAGAGAAAGAGGAGAGGGGTTTTATCTGGTAGTTTAGGTAAGGGTGGGGGGTCGGGTTGTATAACTATACATTTTCTTTGGAATTTGCAAGGTGGTTTGTCTCCAGGGTATACATGACAAGCAGGGTTGTAAACCGATAACTTTGCAAAGAGAGGATGCAGGGATAAGGTTGTGAATCGATTACTATCTTGCATTTCCAGGAAAGTTGCTTGTGACAATTTTGTTTTCTCACATCCCATGTCTAGCAGGTTTGGAGCTTGCAGGTTGACTTTTTTAAAGGAATAATTTTAACTGTTTTTAGCCCCTCTCTGCCACATTACTTCAAAATATATTTGTTCTAAATGTAATCAATGTGTTATCCTGAATTCCATCCTGGAACTGGAAAAGAACATAAATGGAAAAAACTGTTGAAATCCACTAAAGTCTGTAGCTTAGTTAGTTTTGTTCCTATGTTAATTTCTTAGTTTTGGAAAATGCCCCATGGTTCTGTAAGATGTTACCATTAGGAAAAGCAGAGTAAAAGACACGGGACCTCTTTGCAACTCTTCTGTAAATCTCAATTTATTCTAAAAGTAAAAATTTTTAAAAAGTAGTTGTTATGAATATTTCTTCATGGAAATTCCCTTTGTCTGATTAGCTATAGCAATGGCTAAACTGTACTTAAAGTGCATTGCTACAATTTTGATTACATTTATGACAAAATAATTTATCCTTTAGATTTTCATGACTAGTTTTTTTGGGTTTTTTTTTTAATCTGAGTCTCATCTCACTCTGTCGCCCAGGCTGAAGTGCAGTGGCACGCTGCTCATGGCCACTGCAGCCTTAACCTGCTGGGCTCTGGCAATCCTTCTACGTCAGCCTTCCAAGTAGCTGGAACTACAGTCGTGCACCACCTTGCCCAGCTAATTTTTTGATTTATTGTAAAGGCGAGGTCTCACCCATTTGCCCTGGCTGATCTTGAATCCCTGAATTTGCCGCAGCCTCCCACAGTGCTGGAATTACAGGCTTGAGCCACATGCCCAAACTAGGTTTTCATGGCTCATTCTAAAACTAAAATCAAATTGGACAAATTTATAACTGTTGTTTTAAAATAGCATAAAAATAGCATATTACATTTCAGATATAAATTTCTCACTTTTTCAGAGTTACTAGACTTGATTCTTTTCAAAATAATGACTTATTACACAGACTCAGTGGCACGATCTCACCACAGCTTCAATCTCCTGGACTCAGGTGATCCTTCCACTTCAGCCTCTCCAGTAGCTGGGACTACAGGCATATGCTACTCTGTCTGGCTAAATTTTTGATTTTGTAGAGACAAAATCTTGCTATGTTGCCCAAGCTGGTCTCAAATTCCTAAGTTTAAGTGATCCTCACACCTAAACCTCTCAAAGAGCTAGAATTACAGCCATGAGTCACCGTACCCAGCGAAAGTTCTCTTATTTATCTATTTATTTTTTATTTTTGTAGAGATGAATTCTCATTATATTGCCTGACCTGGTCTCCACCTCCTGGATTTAAGGAATCCTCCCACCTTGGCCCCCCAAAGTACTGGGATTACAGGCATGAGCCACCACATCCAGCCTAGGTTTTCTTATTATGTAATGAATAATGATGAGACTAGAGAGGCATTCGTTGTCATTGTCATTATTAAATTATTATCAAGTTAAGGCTTGGTGTTGGCTCATTCCTATAATCCCACCCCTTTAGGAGGTTGCAGCGGAAAGATTGCTTGAGGTGAAGAATTGGAGGATGTAGTGCATTGTGATCGTGTCTATAAATAGCCGCATGACTCGAGCTTGGGCAGCAGTGTGAAACCCTGTCTTTAAACAATTAAATACACACACACACACACACACACACACACACACACACACACACACACACACA